ATAAAAGACAACTTTAGTCCCTAAAGTATGCGCTCTTGTCATTTTAGTCCTTTAAGCTTCAATTTTATTATTTTGGTCCTTAAAATTGTCAATTTAAGTCAATTTAGTTTTAGGTCTAACGTCCATCTGCATTGATAACAGGAATATAGATAAAAGATGATTTTAGTCCTCAAAGTATGTATTCCTTGTTAATTTAGTCCCTTAAATTTTGATTTTGTTACTTAAATTTTGATTTTGTTATTTGGTCATCAAAGTTGTCAATTTGTGTTAATTTGGTCTTTGCTCAAACTAGAGGTGAGCATTTGTCGGGTTGGACCGTCACTACATAATAAGGGATTTTATATCTTCCCAAGTCCGACCCGGTCCTAACATCAGGCCTTTACATTTGTACAAGTCGACCAAAAAATAATTACAAATCCCAAGTCCACCCATCGGCCTATATGTTAAAAACAAAAATTAAAACATTTTATAATTAAATTTAATCACTCATTATATTTTCTTAAATAAATATACTGACATCATTATAAATTGAAGAATTTCATTATAAATTGAAGGATTTTTTAAATAAATTGAATTAAACATCATTACAAATGTGAGTTTCAATAAAATTAATAAAGATAAAGTCTACATTCCAACAAAAAAAAAATATTTTTTAATATATTATAATTAATTAATTTAATAGCTAGCTGAGCTAGGCCATGCTGGATTGAAAGTAAAAATTCTTAACTCATCACATTAATATATTGGGCTAAAAATATTGATCCAGCCAGACACTATAAGCTAAAACAACCTTCCCAAATCCTTAAAAAAATAGAGTCGAGCTAAGCGGGCCAACGGGTCAATGGCCACCTGTAGCTCAAACTAACAACTCTAAGAACCAAAATAATAAAATTAATTCTTAAGGAACTAAAATGACAAAAAGTGCATACTTTAGAGACCAAAATTGTCTTTTATCCAAGGATAAAATACGTTTCCCGTTATCAATGTAAGCGGACATTAGAGATATGATCAAATTAACTTAAATTGACAACTTTAAGAACCAAAATGATAAAATTGAAACTTTTTTTTTTTAACAGCAAAGAAGAGAACTACATTAAAGAAGAAAACTATTACATCAATAAGAAAAAGAGGATGAGTGTAAAGCATCAAGGGTTGGTGAGGATCCAACCACAAACACCCAAAACAACCTCACCTAAGAAAAGGCTAACCAAACTTAAAGCATAACAGACAACCCAAAGGCTAGCCAAATTAAAAACAGCAGCAGAACAGCAGGATCACCCTCAAGCAGAACACCAACTCCAAAAACACCAGCAGAACTAAAGCAGAACGAAAGCAGAGCTAAAGCAGAACTGATGATCACCCTCAAGCAGAACTGAAGCTGCCACAAAAGACTAAAATAATATGAAACGAATACTATAGAGGTTAGAACTGTTTTTATCCTTGAGTGATCAAGAAATAGTCATTCTATACTACCCAAAATCATTCCAATCAACTAAAGGCTACCTTAGAGTTAAAGTATGAATGAAAATTAAATATTGTGTCAAGTGAACTATTCTAAATATGTGAAATATCTATGACTGAGAATTGACAGTTGGGTTAAGGCAGGGGATATGAGTGCAACACGTTTAGTTAGACATGCAATCGACAAATATTTTTAAGTAAACGAGTAACTATAAAACTAAATTACGCATAATATACAAATATAAAAAGTAAATTACATCTCGTCCCTTCGATTATGAAATTTATCCATGTCCTCCTGCCGTTTTGGATGAGAATTAGGTGAATCCGAACCTCGGACAAATACTCATAACCGATACATATATTTGAGTCTATGTAAAATAGATTTACCAAAAAAAAGAAAAAAAAAAGAAGATAATACCTCCTTCATAGGGTTCTGCCTTTTGGGGCCAAAATTGGTGCATCTTTTCATTCAAATATTTTATGCATATAATACATGTATCTGAGCATTAATAAAAGGTGGGGAATGTGGTGAATTACTGGTCTCACGCGAAAATACGATAACCTTGAATTGGCAACTTTTATGGGTGAACTATGAAGATTTCCAAAGTCAACCAGAGATAAATTTTGCAGCTAATCATGATGATCAAGATGTATAGCATAAATTGAGGAAAACAAAATGTAGTGAAACAATTTGGGAAAATATATCAAGATTGACAAATAGAAAATCTAATCATATAGTTTATTTCAATACAAAACTAGCTTTGGAAACTAATTGCGGGTTGGTTTGGGAAGTGAGTTGACTTTTTGGCTTTTTGGGCTATCTTAGCCTGGGTTAAAAAACTTGGTTTGGGAAGGGCTTTTTGGCTTTTTTTACTTTTTTTGTGAGAGAAGAGTATAATGCTTATGGATTGGATGTGATGTTTTGTTGATTGTGACTAAAATAGCCTATTTTGTCTTTTATGGCTAAAATAGCCAAAAAAGCTTACAAGATGTATAGCATAAATTGAGGAAAACAAAATCTAGTGAAACTATTTGGGAAAATATATCAAGATTGACGAATAGAAAAACTAATCATATAGTTTATTTCAATACAAAATTAGCTTTTGAAACTAACTGCATTAACATTATCCATGGTTTAATGCCTAATCACAACAAACATATATTTTATTTATTTATTTTGGCTTTGGTTGTGGTCAATGAAACAATTCTATATGTATAACTTCTGGTTCTTGAGTGAATTGCTCATAGTGTTACTCATTCACAAAAAGAACTACATGTGCATTAGGCAGGACCCCTAGCAGAATATATATAATAACCTTTTACTTATTCTGTAATTAGATAATAAACTTTTAAAGATATAGAACCAGAAAAAAGCAACAAGTACCATGAAGTTAGAGAGTATAATACAATCATGATTTATGATAACTAACAAAATAAATCATTAAAACTAAGATTCAACATCACATACCTGAAAACATAATCCATGTTTGCTAATTTCTTCTGCCACCTTGTCTCAACATTTTCACCTTTTTATGCTTTTTCCCTTCAACAATTCTTACAAACAACTTTGGTTGTCCAGTTAAGAACATGAGAAAACCAATAACCAATCCCAATGCCATTCCATACGCATACCCCATCACCACGGCTTCCCAAGTAAATCCACTTAAAAAATTTGTGTAATCTTCCTGTTGTAATAGCACCCCCGGCTGAACTGGTGATTGATTATCTTCACATTCCTTTGACAATGGAAACCCACATAATCCCAAGTTCCCAACATATGAATCATTTCCAAATGTTTCAAATTGTTTGCCTCGAGGTATGGGTCCATCAAGATGGTTACATGAAAGGTTAAAGACCTCAAGAAATGTCAAACTCAATAAATGGTTAGGAATGTTCCCAATAAGCTGGTTTGAAGAGAGGTCTAGTGATTCAAGCTCTGTCAAGTCTCCTAAAGATGATGGAATAAGGCCTGTAAGGCTATTATGAGATAAATTAAGCACTATGAGAGAATTAAGCCCTCCGATGACATTTGGAATATCTCCACTAAATTTGTTAGATGATAAATCAATTGTTGTGAAGACAGTCAAAATTCTCGTTAAATAAATATCAAGCCCCTTCATCGTCACCGTAACTGAATAATATGCTCCAACACGCAAATATTTTTCATTTGGCATAGTTTTATTCCTCATAGCTTTGAAAAATTTGAAATATCTCCCTGGCAAATGACCAGTGAACTTATTGTGGGAGAGGTCAACAATTCGGAGTTTAGGGAAATAGAGTTTTGGCTTGGAAGTGTCTATTGGACCGTGAAATTTGTTGGATCGCAAGACAAGAACCCGTAACTCTGGAAGTATCCCCAACCAGTATGGAAAAGTGTCATTTATCTTGTTGTTTCCGAGGTCTAGAGCTTGTAACTGTCTACAATTGGTTAAGGATCGTGGAACTGGTCCTTCGAATTGATTTCCATTCAAATTAAAAATGACCAACTGATTACCCTTTCCAAATGTCATGGGGATGTTCCCTTCAAAGGCATTGAACTGCAGATCTAATACAAGTAGAAAGTTGCTGAGGTTTCTCAAACATTGTGGAATTGCACCACTCAAGTGGTTGTGAGACAAATCAAGGATGGAAAGGAAACTCACATTGCAAATTGAAGAAGGAATTTCTCCAGTGAGTTTATTTTGTGAGAAGAGGAAAGAAGATACGAAGGGTGGAGGAACTGGGAGTGGTCCTTGAATCAAATTGAAACCAAGATCAAGATTAACAAGATTTTTTAGATATGAGAATGTTTGTAGCTCTACAACACCACTCAAATTATTTGACGAAAGATCAAGTTGTGTCAAATTCACAAGATTTGAAATTGATTGTGGAATGGGGCCGCGTAGTTCATTATGACTCAAGTTAATGTACATCAATTTTGATTTATGCTGGAACTCAGGAATTTGGCCAGTTAGTCGATTACTACCCAGGTATAATTCCGTCAATGACGGAAGATTCAACAACCAAGATGGTAGTGTCCCATTCAGTGAGTTATTGAGCAAGAAAAGTGCTTGTAGGTTGTTTAGCCCACTAATGTTGGAGGGAATGGGACCCATCAGTTCATTACTCGATATATCTAACAAAGCAAGTTTCGTCAGGTTGGCTACCCCACATGGAAATGGACCATTGAAATTGTTATATGCAAGTGCTAAATACTCTAGCTTTATCAGCTTACCGCTAAAATTAGGAATTTTTCCATGGAGATTATTTCCAGAAAGATCCAAGGAAATGAGCTGATTAAGATTTGAGAGAGTAAATGGGATCTGACCGTTGAAACTATTTCCCCCTAAGTATATAGAAGTGATCTGTGTAAGGTTCCCGAGTGATTCAGGAATGGACCCGGAGAATTTGCAAAGATCGAGATTCAAGGACGTCAAAGACCTGAGATAGCCAATTGAATCTGGTAATTCTCCATAAAAACTCGAATACCTGAGATCCAAGGATGTCAAAGACTTGAGATAGCCAATTGAATCTGGTAATTCTCCAGAAAAACTCGTAGACCCGAGATACAACTGCTGGAGGGAACTACTACTACTCCAGTTTACTTTGGGTAAATTACCAGTGAGATCATAGTTGTCTCCTAAAGAGAGAATTTGCAAGTTTGGAAAGTGAAAAATGCTATCCGGTAATTTCCCATGCAACCCGGTGTAAGTAAGATCGAGATATGTCAAAGAAGACATATTCGTCAAAGACATCGGTACAACTGAAGATATGTTTACAGAAGAAAGGACAAGTTCTTGCAATTGGGTTAGGTTTTTGAGCATCATTCTGAAATTGTGCGGTTCAAGTCTAATACCTATATACGAGAGATCGAGTGAAACTAGTTTGGACAGGTGGCGAATTTCTGATGGGATTGAGCCTGAAAAAAAGGAATAAGATAGGTTGAGATGTGTCAAATTGGGAAAGTGAGCAAATGCTGATGGAATGTGGGAGTAATTGAAGTGATTGAAGGCGAGATTGAGGTGGTGGAGGTGAGAGAGTTGGAAGAGGCTACTGTTAGGATGGATACTGCCATAGAGCTGGCTACAACTGAGGTCAAGCCCAATCACGTGACCCGTCAGACCATCACACGTGACTCCTTCCCACGAACAACAATCAGTACAACTCTCGTTCCAAGATAACACCTTTGGAGAAGCCAAATCCAAATGCTCACACCACCAAGAAGCATCGGTAGAGGTGTTTACAGTAAACAAATGCTTGAATTGCAACAATGCAAACCTCTGGTCATGTGGACACAAATGATGTGTACAAGTAGAAAAAGAAGAGATAGATGATGAACAAGAAACCTGATGATATTGCATGAAATACAAAAGGAATTGGAACAACCATATCAATCGCTCCATTTTATTTTTTTTGGTTTTGTTTTGTTGTAAAGGAGGAGAAACAAGTACAAAGGATCAAGAGAAGAGAAGGATGAGAGGAAGTAGGTACTGATTTGTTAGTCTAATTCATTCCTTTATATAGGAAAAATTTTAGGATAAATTATTAATAAGTTTTAGTAGTTGGACTTAATTCTCATTATATTCTATTGAAAACTAATTCAAATAAAAGCGTCGCTAAGAATTGACAATTAGTAATATTTTTTTATTACGATTTTTATAAATTGTCGCTTAAATTTACAATCAGTGACTTTTTTGTGATAATGAATTTTTTAAATTGTCACTAAAATTTAAAAATTAGTGACTTTTTTTGTGATGATTTTTTTAAACTGTCGCTAAAATTTATAATTAGTAACGTTTTTGTAAAAAAAAAATTAAACTCTTACTAAAATTAACAATTAGTGACATTTTTAATAGTGTTTGATAAAAAACACTATTCATTATCACAAGACCTATTAGAGTCTACCTAATAGGACCTATACGTAAGTCCACCAAAATTTTATGGTAGGTACTTTGTTAAAAGGTGTGTATTACATGCTGTTATGAGTATTTGTAGTGTTAATTATGAATTATGTTGGTGTTTAGTTATGAGATTTCGTTAGTACTAATAATGAATTCTGTTAGTATTTAGGCCTCATTTCTCATGTGATAATTTTAGTCTCAAGTTAAAAAGTTAATAAAAAAATCGAAGCCTGCCATTTTATTGTACACACCTAAGGCTATGTGGCAATCATGTGATTTGTGGCACAGAACAGGTGAAATGACCTTTTTACCCCTCTTTTTTGTTTTTGTTTTTTTGTTTTTTTTTTTTAATTCTAATTTCTGACCGAGCCCCTCCTTTCTGACCGAACCCCTTATATTACAAAATTAATAATTACACAACAACACAGAAAATGTATTGCACTGATTAACATTTTTTTTTTTTTGCTATTTAATTTTCTAAAGATTCTTTTCACAAATATTCTATTTTTCAGTGTATTTATGTTAAGTATATCTAATACTTAAATAAATTACTTAGAATATTAAAATAATTCAGTGCAAAAAAAAAAAAAACCGGAAAACTTAAAATTCTAATTTTTTGATAATTGAATCTTGAAAAACCAAACCAAACAAACTGATTACATTTCACAAATTACAACATAACATTTTCATAAATTAATAGTTTTTTATTTATGAGAACTTTTAAGGAATACAAAATTGGTGAAGTCCAATATTTGATTTATTTTTATATATTTTTTGGGAAAAATAGAGTTTTACAATGAATTTGATATTGATGTGTTCATGAGTTTTGAATGAAGATTTGAAAAGAGTTTGGAAATATTTACAATTATCAGGGAAGTTGTGAAAATAGTTTCGTAATGAGTTTTGAAAAGAATTTTTTTCTTTTAAAATAATACAATTATTACATTCCACAAATTACAACAAAACATTTTCGTCAATCAAATTGTAACAAATTTTTTTATGAGTGTTTTTTCAAAATGCAAAATTGGAATTGGTGAAGTCCAATTTGTACATTTTTTGTTTACAAAATATTTTTACATATAAAAATGGGTGAAGTCCATTATATGAAGTCCAATATTATGTGGCAACAACCCCCTATTTCCCATGCATATAGGTTACATGCTGCTAGCCCTCTGCTGCATCACTTCACCTAGCAGCATGTCAGGTAAATTCACTCTCTCACCAATTGAACAACAGGTCACTCTTGAAGGGCAAAAATGTCAATTTACTCATTTTTACTATATATTATTTTGTTTCACATCTTTTCGTAAAAAGTTAAAAAATTCTTTCAAACATATTAATTTTTTCACTTTATCTTTTAGCTAAAAAATTAAAAAGTTACTAAAAAAAACTTGTTCCTAAATAAGGCCTTAGTTATGAGATTTTGTTAGTATGAAGGCCTCGTTTGAGAACAGGCTAATTTAATAACTTTTTAGTTATTTAGCTAAAATATGAGCTAAAAAAAACTAATATGTTTGCAATGACTTTTTGATTTTTTACGAAAAGATGTGCAAAAAGTAGAGAGAAAAGAGAATTTTTGACTTTTTGTATGGGTTGTTGGCTTTTTGGCTAATTTAACAACTTTTTGACTTTTTGACTAAAAAGTTCAGTTGCCAAACGAGGCCTAAGAGTATTGTTATTGAAGACCAAAAATTAGATTCACTTTTCAAGTTCAATAATGCGGCAATCAATTAAAATATTAAAAGTAATACTTTCTCTCATATTTTATCTAATTATCAATTAATCATATCACTTAGACAAACGTGATAAGTGGGCATATAATACACATCTAAGAGGGTGGCTGTGAAAATATGAGAGCAGTACACATTATGGGAATACAAGTTGCGTTGAGGACGTGAAACAATAACAACTACCGATGTTATAGTTGAAGATGTCAATTTCCCTATGAAAGTTTAATTATTATGGGATTATTTTTTATTTATTTTGATAATTTAAATTATTCATCTTATATAATTAATTGAAAAAATTATCTATGCAAAATACTAAATTCAACCAACATAAATTGTTATACAATCAGATCATATTTATTTATATAGCATACATGGTTTTAAGAATTGATTATTTATTTGTTATAATATATATGTGACTTGACCATGTGAATACTTATATTTGATTATTCTAATTTTTTATATGCACATTTTTTTTAACTTGTCATGTGAGATGAACGGTTCAGATTAGGAGATGGATCCAAATTGATTCCATAATATGCCAACCTCACTTATGAAGCTGAGGTCTTTAACTTTAACAAATTTGACTCAATAACTTCTGTGGTAAATCACATGTTTAAAATTATGGTTGGGAAAGCATAGAGTTGGGTTATTTGGGACAATAATGACAAAATAAACTAAAATAGTTAATAAGATAAAATATCACATCCAATCAATAATCATTTCACTTTTTTCTCACAATTATCAAATCAACTACTTAAAAAAAAAACCTATCTTCCCGAACACAACATTTTAAGCCAAACAAAAATAACCAAAAAGTCAAAAAATCAACTAAAATAGCTGACTTCCCAAATGAGGCCATTATTAGTATTTAGGACTTGTTTGATTGGGCAAATTATAGAATAGGGATAGAATTCTTAATCTACAATACTCATGTTCTAGTGTTTGGCTGTAATTTTTTTTATTCGGATTAGATTTCAATGCATATTCTTTCCAACAAAATTGGTGAGTTTTCTAATTGTACAACTATAATACTGCAAAATAAAAGTATAATTTAGAGTACATATATTTTTATATTCATTGCAAAACAAACCTGGATAAAAGGAATTATATACTAATCCATATAGATAACAAATTCTACACTAATTCCATAAATTATTAATCATCTCACTATTAACCTTGCTAATTAAACATGACCTTAATTACTCTCAAATATGTATAGTCTATTTTTGCACATTGATCATATAAAATACATTTTTAGGACCCATTTTTTACATGAAAATCATTATATATATATATATATATATGTGTGTGTGTATATATGTATGATGATTTCCCTCCTAAGGACACCTTCCAGGAAATAAATTAATAGAAAAAAAATTAAAATTATTTTGAATCACTAAATTCATAATTTTTGAACAAAAGTGTATTATGTTTCAAAATGTGACATAAATCATCTAATAATGTTGAGCTAAAAAGCCACCAATTTTTATTTAGTTTTAATTAATGGAAATTTAGTGTTTGGGGCTGAAATTTTATGTAATCCAATTAGGTACGGCCTATATATGATGAGCAAGAGTTGTCAATAAATAAAGGGTTAATTACACTTTTTAGCATTATAGTTTGATTCAAATTTTTACTTTAATTCTTATAGTTTTAAATTGAGCAATTTAATCGTTACGTTTCAAATCTGGTTTCGGCTTGGTACTTCGGTCAAGTTGAAAGTTAAGGTTAACAATTTTAGAACACTTGTGAGTCTCCTGGGATGTACATGTAAAAAAAATTAATAAAAATTTAGATAGAACGATCAAATTAAAATTGATTTTAAATTACATCAACTAAATTATTTAGTTTGAAATTATAAGAAGCAAAATGAAATTTGAATCAAAATATAAGAGGTAAAAGTATAATTATCCCATAAATAAATATAAATGAATGAAACAATGCAAGCAAAAGTTGTTTGAATCTTACGGATATTAACTTCATTATTTTTTTGTTGTTTTGGGTATTCTATAGATATTTATATATCATTTGATATCTTCTTTTTGCTTTAAAAAAAATAAAATAAAAAAGAAGACGAAGAAAACAAAGACTGTTTTTGAAATTTTTATTATTTGTTTACTAAAAGAATTTTTCATTAACTTTAATTTTTCATTAAACACATTTTAAAGACAAAATCAAACAGAGTATTTTTTTAATTTCCCTTTTTAAGATCTATCAAAAAAGATTTACATTGAATATAAAATTGGAAAATAAATAAATTTTTGAAATTTGACATAATAATTAGATCTAACTATTCGGAACAATTAGATGTAATCTTTTGGTTATTTACACACAACTTAATAATTTTACTTGGACTTATTATTTGTTTATAACATTTTGTGGTGTTTGGTTATAAATCAAACTGGATTTGGTTATAAGATTTTGTCTTGTTTTGTTTTGAGCCAAAGTAACTTTGGTTATGAGATTTTCATTGTATTTTTTTAGTAAACCAATTTAATTTTGGTCTACATCACTCATCTCATAATTAGTGTCATGTTGTGTCGTTAAAGAAGACAAAAAAAAGTGACGAGTATCACTATTTTAACTAATAAAATTTAAATAGAGATACAACATATATTGGTTCGTGTAACAAATTATAATTTCCCCTTTCAACTTGGACATTTTAAAGGATATTGGTTTGGCAAACTCTCAACTAATACAAATTTCTCAACAAAAATTGAAGACCATACTATAAGTTAAATTGGAGATGACCAAGAAGACCTGTCCTTCTCGAGCTGCATAGAAAAGTCTAGCTCATGGAAAAAGATTTTCAAGAATAGCATTAACTGAGTAAAAACCCCA